ACGTCAAAAGCGTATTTTCCTCTTTAGTTGCGGCAGAGGGATGGAGACTCCCAGGCCACTGGTCCCCCTTTCCTAGGCAGTCCTGCCCCCACCCGAGAAGACGCTGCCCTGCCTCGGTTGTGCATGCCTGGGTTTGCCTGCCTGCCATCCAGGGCCTTGCAGTTTGAGAGATGAGGAGAGGAGAAAGTGGCAGTAAAGAAGCAGCGAGTCATTACGATGCAGAAATTAGAAAGATCTCTGGAGACACAGACACAACAAAAACAAAGTAAGATACACTGCCAGGAGAAACAGCTCTGCACGGAAACAAAAGAAACCCTGTGGAGACTCTTCTGAGAGTCAGAATAAAACGGGGTGAACTGGCAGAGGACACGGAGCCTAATGAAAAGTCACTTTGGATAGCACTTTGCTCTCCTTTCCTACTGCTGGAGAGAACACGTGCTGCTGTTCCTGCGGGAAGTGCTTACGCAGAGCGTTCAAACCCGTCAACAGGACCTGACTGAGCCTACACGGAAAACAAAATGCACACGCACACGCGTAACGAACTGAAGTCCTGACGTGAACGTGAGCTGATCTTTTATTTACATTAACAAGACAAAAGTGAAACAGCGAAGACACGTGTTGGGACTTGTTCATCAGCGCAACGGCGAGAGCAAGCTCTTTGCTGAATTTTGCCATCGTTTTTGAATATTAAAAGAACGCTTCCGTAGTTTCCTGTGCCATTCACAATGTGATAGCTGTGGAAACACCACATCTTAAACTTGTGTCTGTGTGATTACCATTTATCCATTACTCTTTCAAGTCTGGATGATCAAAAAAACGATAAACACAGCCCCATGCACAGCAGGTGTCAGTTGGGTACGTGACTGCTCTCACCAGGGCAGATTTCAAGCCATCGCGAGGTGTCCAATACGGAGTTAGCTGCCTGGACCCACTGTTAAACCTCCTTCCACTCCGTAGGTGTGGGGCACAAATAACCTCAATTTAATTTTAAGTTCCTGTTGGTAGCCTTTATGAAACATTACACAAATGTGACTCAAATAAAATACATAATATGGACTTGGATATTAAGAAAAACTATCTTCCTTCTATAAGCAATGTATTTTGAATATAGCTAAGGTCTTTATTATAACTGTAACCGATGTGTTTTCTTCCAACCTGCATAAATCCCTCTTTCTTGGTCATTTGAATACAGTTCTCATTGAAATTCTCGATGCCTCATCGTGAGCCTGCGAACTTTCCAGAGGTGCTTTGAAGACGCGCACCTCGTGCACTCCTGACATTTCCAGGGAAACGGTGGCCATCGTCTCAGCAAAAACAGTTTGAATACCTGGTCCGCGGTTTTTAATTATTACTGAGGAAGAAAGCCTGGGGAGCGAGAACGACTTTAAGTGTCCGAGCTCACCTCAAAGCGCTGCTAATTAGAGCTCCTCGTTAAACGGCTGCTCTGAACACAGTGGGGATGGACGGAGGAGAGGCCACCGCGGACAGAAAGAAAAAAAACGAGCAGAGGCAGCTGGAGCGCGTCGCCTCCATGCCCGGTTCTGTCAGGTGGTGCAGAATCAGAATGAACAGGGGGCTTTGCAGGGGCTCATTTACATTTTAGAAAACCGTTTCACATGGACAGCAGCATCAAAGGAGGTCATGGCACAATTCGCAGGTGTGTCTGCAGGTCGCTCAGAAGGGCTGCGAACGCGGGTTCCTCCAAGACCCGTGAAGTGTGTGAGAAAGACGCTGAGGGCATCACAAAGCGCGGGTTCCTCGGCACCCCGAGTGGAGGTGGGAGGGGACGCATGGAAACGCTTCGGCCCATGGAAACGTCCAGCCTCCCTCGCCCGCCCTCCAGCGCACGGTCCAGAGCACCCGGGACCCCACAATGCAGGGTGCGCAGTGACAGTAGCACCAAGCACACCATGTGGCCGGTCCTGTGAGTGCTAGGGCGTCACAGCAACCCCACCACTTCACAGATGGGGAAACTGAGTCAGAGAGGTCAGGGATGTGCTCAGGGTCAGATAACTAAATCATAAGCTTATTAGGAAGCCTGTTGGCCACTTCCTGCCTCAGAAAGGAAGTCATTTTGAGGACACAGCTCTATCAAAATGCCCAGTTCTGAATACAGTGAGAACATTAGGAGCATTAATCTCATTTCTCTGGATTTTATAAGCACAAGCCCAGGAACATGAGATTTCTATTCCAGCTCACTGTCCCTCCATGGGCTTTGTAGACGCTTTTAAAAATCACAGGCAGCGGAGCGCAGTGGCTCACACCTGTAATCCCAGCACTTTGGGAGGCCGAGTCCGGGGGATCACCTGAGGCTAGGAGATCGAGATCAGCCTGACCAATATGGAGAAACCGTGTTTCTACTAAAAATGTAAGATCAGCTGGGACTGGTGGTACATGCCTGTAATCCCAGCTACTTGAGAGACTGAGGCAGGAGAATCACTTGAACCAGGGAGGCGGAGGTTGCGGTGAGCCGAGATCATGCCACTGCACTCCAGGTTGGGCAACAAGAGTGAAACTCCATCTCAAAACAATAACAAAAAACCACATGCAATCCGCAGGGATCACAGATCTTACAGGGTCTTTTTGTTCTCATCATTATATTTGTTTGTTTGTGTTTAAATATGAGCATTACTGTGAGACACTGTCAAGGAATCAGAGACAGGATCTTTTTATTTATTGGTTTGCACATAGGAGGAGTTCAGGAAGACTGGGAGCTCAGAGATGCCTGTGTATGAGTCCCACCACACAGGTGCGGCTCCACCCACACAGAAAAAAAGCATCTGCTTATGGGGCACAAATGACTTTTCTGGACTTTGTGTAACATATGGGCTGCTCTGCTGCATCCGTAGGGGTCTGATTCTCCACACACCACCAGGACGTCATTATAATGCCACACACTTCTCACCTGGCCTGGCTTCTCCTGAGGACACCGTGATAATGAGTCTCCCTGCATGACTTTGCAAGGATTATTTTTTAAGAAGCTTAGAGTTCATTACAGACATTATCCTGCAAATTCTCCAAGCACCCGGAGAAGTACATTAATATATTTATTCCTCTTTTCCAAGCCACAGAGAAGAGCTTTGCCTCAGAAGGGGCTTCATCTATTGTCAGACTCCTGTTCAATTCAGTTCCTAGTTAATTCATTCTAAATAACCAACATGGGTGCGTGATCCCAGCCTAAAACAAGATTTCTCTTGGTATTCTTTTTTGGTCTGAGATTTCCAGAATTTCTTTCACTTCCCACTGTATGTCTTTCACATGCAGATAATACATCAGTAATTCCTGATTCACTGCCACTCCTTTGTAACTGGTAATCAGGCTAAATATCAGTTTTCTTTTTTCTTAAACTTTTATTTTACATTCAGGGTGCACATGCAGGTTTATTATATAGGGAAACTTGTTATGGGGCATGTTGTACAGATTATTTCATCACCCAGGTACTAAGCCTAGGACTCAATAGTTATTTTTCTTCTGATTCTCTCCCTCCTCCCATCTCCACCCTCAAATAGGTCCCATTCTGTGTTGTTCTGCCCTTTGGGTCCATGGGTTCTCAACATTTAGCTTCCACTTATAAGTGAGAACATGGGGTATTTGGTTTTCTGTTCCTGCATTAGTTTGCTAAGGAATGGCCTCCAGCTCCGTTCATGTTCTTGCAAAGAACATATTCTCATTATTTTTCATAACTGTGTAGTATTCCACAGTGTATATGTACCACATTTTCTTTACCCAGTCTACCATTGATGGGCACTTAGGTTAATTTCATGTCTTTGCTCTTGTGAATAGTACTGTGATGGACATACATGTGCATGTATCTTTATAATAGAACAATTTATATGCCTTTGGGTATACATGCCTAATGGGATTGCTGGGTCAAATGCCAGTTCTGTTTTTTAGCTCTTCGAAAAATCACCACACTGCCTTCCACAAAGGTCAAACTAATTTACCCTCCCACCAACAATGTGTAAGTTCTTCGACCTAGCAGAATCTGCTATTTTTTGCCTTTTTATAATAGCCATTCTGGCTGGTGTAAGATGGTGTCTCATTGTGGCTTTAGTGTGGATTTCTCTAATGATCAATAATATTAAGCTTTTTTCATGTGCTTATTGGCTACATGTGTGTCTTCTTTTGAAAAGTGTCTGTTTATGTCCTTTGCCCACTTTTTAATGGTGTTGGTTGATTTTTACTTGTTAATTTGTTTAAGTTCCTAATAGATCTAGAATATTAGACCTTTGTCAGATGCATAGTTTGCAAGTATTTTCTCCCATTCTGTAGAGTGTCTATTTACTCTGTTGATGGTTTCCTTTCCTGTGCAGAAGCTCTTAAGCTTAGTTAGATCTCCATTTTTAATGTTTGCTTTTGTTGCAATTGCTTTTGGCATCTTCATGACAAGATCTTTCCCAGTTCTTATGTTTAGAATGGCATTGCCTAGGTTGTCTTCCAGAGATTTTATAATTTTGGGTTGTACATTTAAGTTTTAATTCATCTTGAGTTGATTTTTGTGTATGATGTGAGGAAGGGATCCAGTTTTAATCTTCTCTATGTGACTAAGTACTTAGGCCAGCACCAATTATTGAATAGGGAATCTTTTCCCCATTGCTCATTTTTGTCAGGTTTGTAGATGATCAGATAGTTGTAGGTGGGTAGTCTTATTTCTGGGTTCTTTTTTCTGTTCCATTGGCGTATCTGTTTTTGTACCAGTACGATGGTGTTTTGGTTACTGTAGCCTTGTAGTATTGTTTGAAGTCAGATACTGTGATACCTCCAGCTTTGTTCTTTTTGCTTAGGATTGTCTTAGATATTTGGGCTCTTTTTTGGTTTCATATGATTTTTAAAATAGTTTTCTTTAGTTCTGTGAAGAATGTCACTGGTAGTTTAGTAGAAATAGCATTGAATTTGTAAATTGCTTTGAGCAGATGGCCATTTTAATGATATAGATTCTTTCTATTCATGAGCATAGAATGTTTTTCCATTTGTTTTTGTCATCTCTGCTTTCTTTAGACAGTGTCTTGTAATTCTCATTGCAGAGATCTTTAACCTCCCTGTTTAGCTGTATTCCTTGGTTGTTTATTCTTTTTGTGGCTGTTGTGAATGGGATTGAATTTCTTATTTGGCTCTTGGCTTGGCTCTTGTTGGTATATAGGAATGCTACTGATTTTGTATGTTGACTTTGTATTTAAAACTTTGCTGAAGTTGTTTATCAGCTGAAGAAACTGTGGGCCAACATTATGAGGCTTTCTAGGTATAGAATCATGTTATCTGCCAACCAGGATAGTTTGATTTCCTGTCTTCCTGTTTGAATGCCTTTTATTTCTTTCTCTTGCCTAATTGCTCGAGCCAGGTCTTCCAGTACTTTGTTAAATAGGAGTGGTGAGAGAAGGCATCCTTGTCTTGTGCTAGTTTTCTTTCTTTCTTTCTTTTTTTAAACAAATAGATTGTTGCTTTATTAATAACATTACTACTATTAAAATTATGTTTTCAAGGGAAATGCTTCCGGCTTTTGTTCACTCAGTGTAATGTTGGCTGTGGGTTTGTGATAGAAGGCACTAAGTATTTTGAGGTATATTTCTTCAACACCTAGTTTGTTGAGAGTTTTTAACATGAAGTGATATTGAATTTTATCAAAACCTTTTTCTACATCTATTGAGATGATTATGTGGTTTTTGTCTTTAGTTCTGTTTATGTAATGAATAATATTTATTGATTTGCATATATGTCAAACCAACTTTGCAACCCAGGGATAAAGCCTGCTTTAGCATGGTAGATCAGCTTTTTGATGTGCTGCTAGATTCAACTTGCTGTATTTTGTTGAGGATTTTTGCATCAATGTTCATTAAGGACATTGGTCTGAAGTTTTTTTTGGCTATGTCTCTGCCAGATTTTGTTATCAGGATGATGCTGGTCTCATAAAATAAATTGAGGAGGAGTCCCTCCTCCTCAATTTAAAAAAATAGTTTCAGTTGAAATGGTACCATCTCTTCTTTATACATCTAGTAGAATTTGACTGTGTATCTTTCTGGTCCTGTGCTAATTTTGGTTGTTAGGATATTTATTACTGATTCAGCTTTAGAACTCATGATTGGTCTACTTAGGGAATCAATTTCTTTCTGGTTCAGTCTAGGAAAGGTGTATGTTTCCAGGAATTTATTCATTTCTTCTAGGTTTTCTAGTTTGTGTTCATATATGTTTTCATGTAGTATTTGATGGTTGTTTGTATGTCTGTTGGGTTGGTGGTAACATCCCCTTTGTCCTTCCTTCCATCCTTCCTTCCTTCCTTCCTTCCTTTCTTCTTCCTTCCTTTCTTTCTCTCTCTCTCTTTCTTTCCCTCTCTCTTTCTCTCTTTCTTTCTTTCTTTCTTTCTTTCTTTCTTTCTTTCTTTCTTTCTCTCTCTCTCTCTCTCTCTCTCTCTCCCTCCCTCCCTCCCTCCCTCCCTCCCTCCCTCCCTCCCTCCCTCCCTTCCTTCCTTCCTTCCTTCCTTCCTTCCTTCCTTCCTTCCTTCCTTCCCTCCTTCCTTTTTCTTTTTCTTTTTTTTAGAGACAGAATATTGCTTTGTCCCCCTGGCTGGAGTGCAATGGCATGATCTTGGCTCACTGAAACTTCTACTGCCTGGATTCAAGCTATTCTCTGGCTTTAGCCTCCTGAGTAGCTGCAATTACAGGCACCTGCCACCACAGCCAGCTAATTATTTTGTAGTTTTAGTAGCGATGGGATTTCACCATGTTGGCTAGGCTGGTCTTGAACTCATGACCTTAGATGATCCACCTGCCTCAGCCTCCCAAAGTGCTGGGATTACAGGTATGAGCCATGGTGCCTGGCCCTTTTTGCCATTTCTAATTGTGTATTTGAATCTTCTCTCTTTTCTTCTTTATTAGTCTAGCTAGTAGCATATCTTATTGATTTTTTTTTTCAAACAAACGACTGGATTCACCAATCTTTTGAATTGTTTTTTGTGTCTCAATCTTCTTCAGTTGGGATTGGTTTGCTCTTGCTTCTCTAGTTCTTTTAGTTGTTATGTTAAATTGTCAATCTGAGATTTTTCTGACTTTTTGATGTGGTATTTAGTGCTATAAATTTCCTCTTACTGCAATGGCTGTGTTCCAGAGATTCTGTGTTGCAAAGATACTTTTGTATCTTTTTTCTCATTAGTTTCAAATAACTTAATTTCTTCCCTAATTTTATTATTTACCCAAAAGCCATTCAGGAACAGGCTGTTTAATTTCCATGTAATTGCATGGTTTTGAGCAATTTTTTAAGTCTTGATTTCTATTTTTATCATTCTGTGGTCCAAGAGCGTGCTCAGTATGATTTTGGCACTTTTACACTTGCTAAGGATTATTTTATGTCTGATTGTGTGGGTGATTTTAGAGTACATGCCATATGGAGGGAGAAGAGTGTATATTCTGTTGTTTTTGGGTAGACGGTTCTGTAGAAGTCTATTAGATCCATTCAGTCCAATGTTGAGTTCAGGTCCTAAATATTTTGTTAATTTCCTGCCTCAATAATCTGTCCTGCCAGTGGAAGGTAGAAGTTTACCACTATTATTGTGTGGGAGTCTAAGTCTTTTTGTAGGTCTCTAAGGATTTCCTTTATGAATCTTGGAGCTCCTGTGTTGGGTGCATGTATATTTAGGATATTTAACTCTTCTTACTGAATTGAACACTTTACCATTACATTACACTTTTCTTTGTCTTTTTTGATCTTTGTTGGTTTAAAGTTTGTTTGGTCTGAAATTAGGACTGCAACCTCTAGGCTTTTTTTTTTTTTTTTTCTAATTTCCATTTGCTTAGTAGATTTTCCACCATCCCTTTATTTTGAGGCTGTGGGTGTCATTGCACGTGAGCTGGGTCTCTTCAAGACAGTATACCACTGGGTCTTGCTTTTTTATCCAGCTTGCCACTCTTTGCCTTTTAAATGGGGCATTTAGCCCATTTACATTCAAGATTAGTGTTTGTATGTGTGGATTTGATCCTGTCATTGTGTTGTTAGTGGGTTATTTTGCTGACTTGTGTGTGTGGTTGCTTTATAGCATCACTGGTCTGTGTACTTAAGTGTACTTTTGTATTTGTTGGTAGTGGTTTCTCCTTTCCATATTTAATGCTTTTTTCAAGATCTCTTGAAAGGTGGGTCTGGTGGCAACAAACACCCCCAGCATTTGCTTATCTGAAATGTATTTCATTTTTACTAAAAAAACTTAGTTTGACTGGATATGAAATTCTTGGCTGAAGATTTTTTTCTTTAAGGATGCTGAATATAGGCCCCTAATCTGTTGTGATATGTAAGGTTTCTGCTGAGAGGTCTGCTGTTAGCCTGATGGTGTTCCGTTGTAGGTGACCTGCCCTTTCTCTTTAGCTGCTTTTAACATTCTTTCTTTCATTTTGAACTTGAAAAATCTGCCAATTATATGTCTCGGGAAAGATTTTCTGGTGTAGAATCTTGCAGGGCTTCTCTGTATTTCCTGAATTTGACTGTTTTCTTCTCTAACAAGGTTGGGGAAGTTTTCATGGACAATATCCTGAAATATATTTTACAGATTGTTTGCTTACTCCTCATTCTTTTCAACGCCCATGATTCAGAGATTTGGCCTCTTTACATAATCTAATATTTCACAAATGGTTTGTTCATTCATTTTTATTCTTTTTTCTCTGTTTTATTTCAGAGAGCTAGTCTTCACGTTTTGAGATTTTTTTTTTTCAGCTTGGTTTAATCTGCTATTAATACTTGTGTTTGCATTGTGAAATTTTTGTAGCATGTTTTTCAGTGCTATCAGATAAATTAGGTCCTTTTTCTATTAGCTATTTCATCTGTTAGCTACTGTATCATTTTATGGTGATTTTTAGTTTCCTTGGATTGGGTTTTGCCATTCTCCTGAATTTAGATGATCTTTATTCCTATGCATATTCTGAATCCTAGTTCTGTCATTTCAGCCAACTCAGCCTCCCTTGCTGCAGAACTAGTGTGATCATCTGGAGAATGTAAGACACTCTGGCCCTTTGAGTTGTCAGAGTTCCTGTACTGGTTCTTTCTCATCTTTGTGTAGGTGAGCCTTTAACTGTTGAGTTGCGTCTGATTACAGTAACCAAGTGAGGGCAGGGTAGTTGTGCTGAAGTCCAAGGTTGGGTGTCCTTTACCAGCGAGGAGAACTGAAGACCAGGACCTATGTGGAGAACACTGGCCACTTTTCTGTGAGGTGGGTGCTCTGTGCTTGGGGTCTGAACCAGCCTCTGGTCCCTGCAGACTCTCCAGAGCTTAGAGAAAGCAAAGGTGAGAAGTGTGAGTTAGCAAAGATGGCAACCTGCCCCTTCCTCTGGGGGCTCTTCCTCCATGAGCTGTAGAGCTGCTATAGACTCAGTGGCCTCAGAAGTGGGTAGCTGAAGACCCAGGAGGCTGGGAGGACCTACCCAGTGAGGAAATACAGAATCAGGGACCCATGTTTTCCATAGGGCTGCTGCAGTATGCTAGTGATCTGCTCCAGTCCCTAGTCACCCCAGATTTTCCAGCACCTGAAGGTATCAACAGTCAAACCTGGAATACAGCAAAGATGGCAACCTGGGAGTTCCATCCCAGGGTGGTATGGACCTGTGTCTGCCCTAAACACACTGACAAGGGTGGTTGTAGACCTCGGTCGGGAGATTCCACCCAATGAAGAGAAATGGGATCCAAGATCTGGGTGAAAAAGCAATGTGGTCACTTCTTTGCAGAGCTGCTGTGCTGTGCCAGGGGATCACTCCAGTCCTTGGTCGCCTCAGACTTCCTAGACCCTGAAGGCAACAACAGCTCAGGCTATGAAACCGCAGATAGTAACCTATCCATTCCCCTGAAAGCTCTGTTCCAGGGAGGCTCAGAACCATTGCCAACTAGAAAACACTGGGTAGCTGGTGACCCCATTCAGGAGGTCCTATCCAGTGAGGAAAAATGGGGTCTGGGGCTCTCATAAAACCAACAGTCCGACTGCTTTTTTGTAGAGTGGCTGCACTGAAATGGCTAATTGCTTTGAAACAGCATAGATGGTGGCCCAACCCCTACTCTGGGAGCTCTGTCTCAGGGAAATATAACACTACTACTGGTGGCTAGTTGGATTTCTAAGCCATTGGGCCTTATTCTGCAAGGTGCCATGG